GGGGGGGGGGGGGGGGGGGGGATGTAGGGACCAGTCTAACAGCCAGGCAGGACTGAGGATCATGCGAGTAGGTTCGTTAATCCATCCCCTAGACCAAAAACAAAAGCAGCCAACTCTAGCAGTGCAGGGGTAGCTCCCACTGCAAAAACGGCTCTGTTTTGTAGCAAACAGTACAGAGCATGATCATAAAAACAGAGTAATAGGATCTCCTGGCAATATTTAATTGTCAGGAGATCCTATTTTCTGTCTCCAAATGACAGAATGGAAGGACTTCCAACTTCAGAGCTGAATTCCTCAGAAACCAAGCCAGGGACAACTCGTTTCTCAAACGAATTGGTCTATGCAGAGATCAGATGAAAGAATGTTGCATTACATAGGCCTGGAGAGAAAATGGGCAAATTAGCTGCTTGAAAGAAGGCTACCACAAGACCTAGAACTCTAATACAAAAAGAACTCCTGGACTGGAGTTTGAATCCAAGACCGGAGAGTCTGAAGTTCCTCCTGTAGAAGGAAATCACTGGCCTGAGCTGTGTCCAGGACTAGACCCAGATAGTTGAAACAATGAGTCTATGGTAGCAACTAAGACCTTTAGCGTTTCAAGATCCAAGATGGGGCAGATGCTCCTTTTGGGTATAAAGGTGCCCACACACCTTGCGATAATCGCAGGAAATCCCACCATCGTACGATTATCGCAAGGTGTGTGGAAGGCGTGCGACCTCTGCTACTGTAAGGTCGCACGACTTATCTTAGGAACATGTTCGAAAACCAGCCGAGCATCGTACAGTTTTCGGCTGGTTTGTGGCATGTTCAGCATTGCGGTCATCGGAAGCCCGCCCCTCAGCTCAAGATCAAGTACGATCTGCCTGTCCAAGATGGGCAGATCGTACTTTTTTAAAAATTACCTTACAACCATCGCAAGACAAAAGTCTTGCGATGGTTGTAAAGGTGTGTGCCCAGCATAAGAAAGATGAATAGGGTGGGTAAATTCGCTGCAAATTCTGCCAGGCAGTGATGGCTTGATCCAGCACACCAGAGTGCTTGAAGATGTGATACTGCACAAATTTCTATAACTGTAGAGTGAGAAACATGGGGGCAGGGAGCAAAGCGCTAGTTTGTAGCGCTGGGGTACCACCTCCTTCGCCCAAGTGTCTGAGATGCAAGCATTCAAAAAAAATTAACAAAAGTGCCCCCCCTCCCCTTTAAAAAAAGTAGGGGCAGCTTTATGCCAAAGGCAGCCTGTCCAAGGATTTGGCAGACTAAGTGCCAGACCCTGCGGTTGGATGGTGAGCCATACCCAGGGGACCCTTGACAAGGCAATCGATGGAATGGAAAAACAAAAAATAGGATTTTTGTACTCAACGTAAAATCCCTTTCTCTCCGTTCATTGAAGGACACAGGGCAACAGATCGTAGATCCTGTACTGTAGGGTATATCACCACCTGCAGTACAGGATCTACGATCTGTTGCTGTGTCCTTTAATGAACGGAAGAGTAAAGGGATGAAAACTGCTCCGTGCCCCAAGCCTTCTTCCACAAAGGAAGGCAATTGTTCATGGCACCAGTAGCACTGAAATTCCACATGGTCCTTCAGGAGCAGCAGTGGGGAGACAATCTCTACGGTATGTATGAGCATACACACACCACTCCACCCAGCAGATGACGTCCGCTCTTGGTCCCACCGCAATAACCCATTACGCAGCAGAAATAGCATTTTCCTTCAACGTTACACAAAACCCTGAGGCAGTAGAGCACTTTGGGACCCTCAAACATCAGTTAACACAAACTGTCCCTCAAAGGATTAGTCACCTCTAGTTAACACAACTCGGCAACCAACAGGAAATGTTTTCAGTCAGGACAGAACACTGAGAAAATACCCTGTAGCGGTACAGTCCCAGGAAAATGAACACAACCAAGAATTTTCAATTCTGTCAAGAATTTAGTGGTCATTATGATTCTTGCAGCAGTGTCGAGAAATTACGCATTTCCTTATCTCTCTCTGCTTACTGGACTACAATGACAATGCTAAGGCTCCACCCATGTTTCCCTTGCCCATAGGCTGTCTAGAGCCTGACTGGTACACACTGCATTAACTTTTCGCTCAGCTGAGTTTGTGGAACACAAAGTAAAGCCTTTGGGCGGTTAAAGTAGCGGTATATTAAAGTGGTTAACAATTGTTGAAGAAATTGATTACATGATGTAGATACACAGTTGAGCCAAATCATATAGCCAATTTGTCTTGCACTGCCAACATAGAAACGGTTGCCAACACAAATGCAGTTTAATCTTAATTCATAGACTAGAAATAGATTGTTTTGCCATGTATGCTACACACTTGTTTCAATTTTATAAACGCGTCTACCTGTGCAGTTTTCTGCTTCTTCTTTTCAAGTTTTTCTTTCCTTTTAATCTCCTAAGAAAATTAAAAAATCAGAGATATACTGTTAACACGTGCAATATACACAGCACTGAAAATATTGAAGGGAGACATAAAAGTTGGGTACTAAAAATCCTCCAAACCCAATATAGTTTTCTTTACATGGCCTACATTATACTTTCAGTGCAACCAAACATTTACATCACATTTGTAACCAGATCGTTTTAAGTTCTAAAATCAATGAATAGGTACAGAGGTTTGGACATTTTGGTATCCTTGAGGGGATATTTTACAACACTTGACTTCCTATCCAGTATCCTGCCTACCATTGGCAATAGACTAAGAAAAGCTACATTCTTTAGTAGTAAAGGTTTATAGGTTTTGTTTGTTTTTTGTCTTTAGCAACACTATATAATTTCCACCCCCCAAAAAATAAAAATAAATGTTGAACAAAGTCACAGTATTTACCAAGCTCAATTAATACTCATGTTGCCCATTGAACGGACTACTTTAGTATATCAATGCTGCTGTGTACACAGCACTCTCAACCCTGATCTAATAATTGGCCCATTGCTTTTGCCAAGAATGCACTGCACAGAGCTAGCTTTCCCCAAGTCTCATCTTGGACAAACCATATCCAAATTCATTTTACACAATACTGGGACTGATTTAGTGGCTACAACAGGCATACCCCCCTTATCCTCATAGGATAATGAGAAATGTATGGCATTAACCTTTATTATCTATAGAACACACCTAAGCAGCACTGTGTAATGAACCTGTGTTGCAAAGCACAGATGTAACCCCGTGCACATCTTTTCTGTGTGTTAACACCTTCTGTGAAGGAAGCCTTATTTCCAAACTGAAAGCCTCAGTTGTACATGAAAGTAACTTACCTCCAACTGCTGCTGTTCCATCTTAGTTAGAAGAAATTTGGAATAAATGTTGCTTTTCTCAAGCAAATGCTGGAGCCTTTTATACCGCATTTCATTGGAGTCTCTTTCCCAAGACATCTGAGCCTGCAAGAGGAACCAGAATAAGTAACCTCACAAAAGGTCTAGGCCGTACATTTTCCACATCTGCTTGACTCAGTTGAAGTCAGCAGTAGAATGAATGTTATGTAGTCTTATCAAGCTCCAGGTGCACATCATGACTTGCCATTACAAGACTAAGCCTTAACTTCTTCAGAAGCTACAATGGCCTTGCAAGGACTGTCTGGTATTAGGCTGGGTTCACACCTGGGCGTACGAAATATGCGCGCGTTTTTACCGCGATTTGCGGTAAAGAAACACGCGACAAGCGCGCGTTTCCGAGGGCTATCCGGCTGTACCCAAATGGATACGCCGGCAAATACACACCAAAGAAGCTCCTGTACTTCTTGGGGCATTGGGCGTTCCTACGCGCTGTAAAACACCCAGGTGGGAACCATGCCCATAGGCAATTATTGGTTTTCACATGTTGAGTGTTTTACAGCGCGTAGGAACGTGCTGTAAAACGCCCAGGTGTGAACCAGGCCTTAGTCGGTTCATCTGAAGTAAGGAAGTAGCAAACTTGTGGGGGAATACCCTTACAATGTTCAGTTTGTGGTGCTCCATTCAATAGAACACCACAAACTGAAGTAGGCACCAGGGATGAATGCCCAACGTTAAACCTACCCTTTCCACAGCTATAAGCACAAATGTCATGTATGTGTGCATTTCTGTGTCATGAGCGTTCATCAAGTTACTCAGGGGCTGGATTCAGCATCCCAATCATTCAAGGTAGTTTAAGGGCCCCTGTGCCCAGGTTATGGACATTAAACTAGCTAGATTTTTACCAAACATTAAAGCTTTAATACCAACCCTCACTCACGTCTCTAGTTGTTGGTAAACTGAAATAATTTACTCTCAAAGACCACTAGACAACTACAAAACCACTTCTACAGTTAAAAATGTTGCAGTGGGTATATAAAAAAATCCAAGGATTTCTACCTTTTCCATCATTTTTTGCTCCTCTACTTGAGCTGCTTTCTCAAGTTTTTCTTCCTCCTTTAACATTGCTGAAGTTATTAATCCATCAAGTGACTGATCCATCTCAGATTCCATTGAAGCTGCAAAATAAAAAAAAAAAAACTGTATTTAAAAGCAGTAGTTACATCATTTAAAGTTGAAATGCTACAATGAAAAAAAAAAAGGGACATTTTAATTCAATCATGTTCCGTCAAAAGGAAACCTTCAGGTTTCAAACCAAGTCACATCCGGTGTGGAAATCCTTTATGGCTATACTACAATGGTGATAATCCAAAGAAAGCAAAAAAGCCACCCATTACTGAAGACAAAACAGAACCCAACTGTATGTACAACAGGGGTCTGGAAATTGAAAACAAAAAACTACTTGTCCAAGGACTAAAGCTGGGCCCAATCTACTTCTTCTGATACAAAAAAAAGGTTTTAACCAAAACCCTATTTAACCATGCGAAGAAGCGCTCTCTCATTGGTCAGTGTGGTAACCCGACCATTGAGTGCTCGTAATTTGCGAGCGAAATTCTAAATCCATAGGGCGGGGCTGTGCTGGACAGCAGTATGGGGTACAGATAGTACCGACTGACGGAGGGGAAGGACCGTGTGCTGAAAGGAAAGTATAGCGCCGGGGGAGTGAACGTGAGGAGAGGGTTGGCCAGATTTGATCAGGTAATTCCATTTTCCCCAAAATTAATTATGAATGTGAATTTACCCTTTAATGCACATTGTGCATGTTAGAGACCACTGCTTATTCACATGGTGGGACCAGGGCTGGTTTTAATTTCTCTTTTATTGGTTTTTACTTCACTTATTTATTTTACTTTTTCATTACATTTTAATTATTTTTTAATACCCCACCCCTTTTAACGTTACTAAGAACACACAGGGGCTACCAAGCCCCTATGCGATAGTGTTTGGAGGTGACAGATGCTCCTTATGGAATCTGCCCTCCAGCACAGAATATGGATGGATGATTCTGCACAGACTGGCAACTGAGACGGAGTGCTGCGAGTACAGCGTTCCGGTCTCACTGATCACACAGAGCGCTGAACGGACGCCTCCGTTCTGCTCCCCATCCTGAAATTACTGCCGTGGTACCGGGTCCCCCAGAAGAGTGCAGGCCCCCCAAAAAATAAACCGACAATATATTAAATAAAGCATCCAGCGGTGGTGCAGTGGCGGATCAGTATGGTCTGTATCACTTGCTTGTGCAGGCTATACTAAAATCACTCCCTTGTGGTGCCGCTGCTCGAAGGAGCAAATAGTATGGCCTTCCAGAGATTCAGATCACACTGATCCCCCACTGGACCACCTGGATAATTCCCGAATTCCCCTACAGGACCCCAAGGATGCAAAACAGGTGAGCAGGAGAGGGGAACATTTCATTATTCATTTTTATTGTTAATTGATGTGTGTGTTTTTAATAAGTGTGCGTGTAAATGTTGAATATGTGCGTTTCCCTATGTTGCTTAAGGTAGGGATGCTGAACGTTTTTTTTAAACCTCAGCACTCAAGCTGGAACGCAATGCCATACTTCTTTTCAGTGTTGGCACTTTGAGATAAATTGATTTTGCGTTGCAGTTTGGGCACTCTGGTTCAAAAACGTTTGCCATCACTGCTTTAAAGTACAAAAAATGGGGAGTCTCCCCCAGTCTAAAAATGTCAGATTTTTATGCAGACCCCATAAAACACAGAAAAGTAGGTTTCCCCCTATTAAATTCCATTTTAATTTGTCCACCCCTGTATTTTGGTAGGGGCCCAGTTATAAATGAGCACATATCAGATATAATACTGCACACAGCCTACATGTTGTCAATGGCAGGTGAAACAAAGGCGCAGTGTGAAATAAGCAGCAGAAAGCGATATCCACTCCCTGCTATAAAATAGACTTCTTTGTGTTGATAAGGAGCTTGGGGCAAACAGACATATGACAACAGCAATGACTCTGTACTGATCGTGGCACAGACGCTTCCACATACTGGAGTGTAGTACAAACGTGCTGATCATATGCCGCTTGTAGTCTATGCGGCAATAGAGGAAGTACACACCACAGAGGGCCCAAAACAGTGGGTGGGGCCCAAATGCAGGAAATACCCTTTTAACATCCAGAATCATTTTTAAAATATATAGCTGGTTAACAGACTAAAAACACACCAAATAAACTACTCCATGTATGTATGTATGTATGTATGTGTATATAGTGCCAACAGCCCTATGTAGAGGGAGTAAACACTAGTATTTGCTACACAATGGCATTGCACTGACAGTAATGACTTAGGCCCCGTTCACATTGAGCGATCGCGCGGTAATTGCCGCGACATCACGGCAATTTACCGCGCGATATCGCTCTCCAATGCTTCTCAATTGGGCAAAGGGTCCTGCTGTCGCGGGTCGTGTGTCGCTACAGCAGGAACCTTTTTGGAGCGGATTTAGCCGCGATTCAAGCTTGCTCAATGCAAGTATTTGCGCGAAATCACGCAAAATGCAAATCGCACGACAAACGCGCGATTTGCGAACCGCTCAATGTGAACGGGGCCTAAGTACATCATGTTGTGCAAACAGGGCAGTCCCTAAGGTATTTGCCACCTGGGGCTATGTTGTTCCAGGGGGTGTGCCATTAGCAAATTATCAGGTGGGTGTCTGCGTGGGCAGCTAATTTGTTGTTAAGGAGTGGGGGTGTGGGGGGTTGGCAGACCGGACTGTGTCAGCGGCTCTGTCTGGCATTCCACCTAGCATACTGACATCATTGGATGCCAGGAGCTTGGCGGGTCACAAGCCAAAGCGTCCCAACTCAGCTCCTGGCAACCAGTGTCATCAGCGAGCTGTGCACCGCACAGGGCGTCACAGGTTGTTAATAGCAACCAGGGACACTGTGGCCGCCCCCCCCCCCCCCGAGATACCACCTCAGGCTGCCTAATTATAGGAACGGGCCTGCATGCAAAGCACAGTCACCATTTACTGCAAGATATCACACAAGAATAGTAGTTATGTCATACTGCATCCAACTGACCAAAGCAAGCATGTACAGAGTGGGTAAGGATAATTGGCCAGTCAAATCATTTCCATGGGTTTCCCAACGCCTGACAAGTGCACCAAAGGAGAGCATGCACTTTTGTAAAATATGCCCGATCTTGTGTTTTGAAATACTACAACGCATGCGCATTGGCAATTGTGGTGCCGTTGTGAATTGTGTCACAGCACTACGTCTGCAAAGAAAATTATTTGTGAGCGGAGGGAACGTGGAACGTAGAGCTTTAGCATAGCATGCATACATACCCCCAGCACGCGTGTGGGAACGCAGGCCAAATCAGGAGTTTTCACTTCTAACAAAGCAGACCTACACCCTGATCACCCGCTTTACATCATGTATGTTCTTTTTTTGGAGGGGGAGGGGCGTTTTTTTTCTTTTTCTCATTCAAGCTGCCCCACAGTGCAGGTATTCTTGCCTAGGTGAGGATGGCGTAGCCCCCTGCTACCTGCAAGCTTCAGGGCAAGTCACAGTACCTGCCACGTCATCATGGGGGGGGGGTTGCCAGAACACCAAAAGAGAGCCAGCTCCTGATGACACAAAGGAAGGTGGCATTGCAGGAGCTGGGGTGCAGCGGATTACAGCAGCACAACACTGGATTGGAGTGTGCTGTTTCTATCACAGCACCCCCAAATAGAGGTCTGGTAAGGATTTTAAGGAAGAAACCCACAAACATCCATTTACATCAGGTAACCCCCTTTTACATCGAAGCTCCCACTTCATGTCAGAAATCCCCCCTTTGATGCTTTGAGGAAACCAGAGAGAGAGGCCGCTATAGAGGATAACCCGGAGAACAAGGAAAGAGAGGATGAAACAAAATAACACGGGGGATTAAAGTTTCTCAGCAAAAGACAGCCAGGATAATAGCATTCCCAGCAGGATAATCATGGCAGTCAAGTCATTACGCTAACAGAGAGGTCTCTGCCGCCACGAATTGTACAGAGAGGACACAACCGCACTCCCATAGCCGAGTTATACATTACATAACAGTACAACATAGCCGGCCATGTGAAGTGTACTGAGGCTGAGCCCGGCACGGAGAACACAGTACAGTGGTGCTGCTTTACCCGGGTCGGAGAGCGGCTGTTCCACAGGCATGGTCGGCTCTCAGCACAGAGACTTCTCACTTCCAGTCCGCAACCACAAACTCGCGCCAAATCCTTCGCCGATCTCGCGCCCCCAATCAAAACTCCTCCAGGCCCCGCCCTCTTCCTTTGAAGTTTTCCCGCATGTCGCCCCGTCCCCGTCTAGAAACATCGCGAGATTGGCCTCAGCTGTGTGCACGAGGCGGCAGGTTTTTTTTTTTTTTACCTCGTTCTCTCCGCTCAGTGGAGTCACGTGACTTTTCTTCTTGGTTCAGGAACGGGGCAGCCCTGTGGGGTGGGGTTACTTATGACTGATTTATATAACTGGGACATGAGCATACATTCACATTGCTGTGCTGGAAGGAAGTGTCTGAACATGTTCTTGTGTCCTATCACATGGCTATCGTGTGCTGGGAACCATTACATTATATAGTTGGATAAAATGTAATTATTCATCAAACTATAAAGAGGGAGAACAGAGGAATTTGATAAGAAAATGATTAGAAAGAACTTGTAAAACAAAGTGCATTTATCCTAGTCGAGGGATTCTCAGCCTTTTTTCAGTCAGCACCCTAAATCACAAAACACCTCAGTCTAAAATGTAAGAAAATCAACATATGGTCCCTCGAAAATCAGTACCAAACCCTTATCTGAGACAGGGGGTCTGATGTGGATTTTAAGGGGGGCCCCCACACAAAAAAAGGTTCCCTCCAGAAGTGTAACTAGAAACCTCAGGGCCCTGCTGCAAGAAACCATGAAGGGCCCCCTTGGGAAGCAATGTCAGCACCTCGGTGGATAACGAGGCTCAAGTGGAACAATGCTAGAGCCTAGTCACACATGGGACCGCTACGACCATTGTAATTCTGCACGTGTGTGGAGCAAGTTTTCAAATCTCACTAGGGAGCCGAATCTGTGGACAGGAGATGGGGTCATCAAAATGTTTCATTTGAAAATATTTAAATTGGTCACTAAAGGAAGTTAAATGCTCCTGTGAAGGTGGGGTAAGAAAGCCTCTAGGACAGGGGTAGCCAAACACTGGTCCCCCAGCTGTGGTAGAACTACAAATCCCATGAGGCATTGCAACATTCTTACAGCCACAGACATGACTCCCGGAGAGAGATGCATCATGGGATTTGTAGTTTCATCACAGCAGCAGGACCAGTGTTTGGCTACCCCTGCTCTAGAACACCATGAAACTAGATTCAGACACGGAATGAACAGTTCATATGAACCCAGAGGGACCTTAGCGTCAGTGAAAGAGTCGGAAGGACATATAGTAAAAAGGGAGGACCATGCCCAGCAGCGTCACCATGTCATATGTCACCTGGTGAGGCCATCGGGTGTCACCTGGTGTGCACGTCATTATGCCCGCGAGGAATGAGGTCTAGTGAACTTCACTGCCAGTGATCATCTTGGTGATGGACGACGGCAAAGGGAAGAGGAGACGTTCATCCAGCAGGGGGGGGGGCTAACCCGGCTGAGGTGGTATTCCGCCAGGTCTCCTCCTCTCTCGTGCAGCTGTCGGGCTCTCTGTCCATGACAGAGTGCCTGACTTTTCAGAGGGGGTGACACCAAAATTATTGAGCCGCACCCCCCTTGAGACACCAATCACCATGCCAAGGTCATAGCTTGAACAGTTGGGTACGGAGAAGGTTTACTTTACAATCCATGGTTTTACCAAAAGGCCATGTGGTAGGTTTACCTCCTGGAATTATATTGCATTCTCAGACATCCCAAGTCTCCCGGACGTTTTGGGAGTCTCCTGCTATTAGATAGCGGCTCCCGGACGCCCGCAAGAGAGACATTTTATCCTGGAAAGGATTGAAACCTTTCCGGATCTGCTGCGCTCACTAGTCCTGCTGAGTATAAATAAAGTTTTTAGTTGTAAGCGGGAAAAAAGTTTGTGCCTGCAGATCCTGTAACGGTGGCTGGTCAGTGGGAGGGGTTTAGGCACAGCAGGGCGGCCTGTGATTGGCTGGAGACAAAGGTCCCTGAGCTAGCTCTGCAGACACCTTGTGATGTTAATGACAGTGTCGGGGGGAGCCGATAGAAGATGCCTGGGGAGGATGCAGGGAGGGTGAGTGGCACACTTCCAAATGTTGGCTGCTTGCTGAGCTGTGGAGGGGAGCTCCCTGCGCTGCAATTCATCTCACACAAAAAGCACAGCTGCCTGCCTTTACACAATGCACAGGCAAGGTGCCTGTAACCATATGTCTTGTCATATACTGTAGTGTTAATAATCACAAATAAAATAAAAAACATAATGTAATTAATAATAACATAAAATAATATAATTAATAACAATAAAATGGTATAATATCTACTATGTTTGTGTGT